ATCTCCCAATGTCAGTTATTAGCGTGACCCTAAAAAACACATGATCACCAACCAGAAATTCTAATGGTCTTTTACGCCGATCCGCGTAGCTCTTTTATCGACTCTGGACTGTCAACAACTTTTGTTTAATTAATTAGATCTTCTGGGTGGTTTGGTCTACCAAATCCAGACCTAACAAACTTCTCTCGCTCAATTCTGTCCAACACAGAGGCGATCGACATCTTCTTTCATATAATGCCTCATATAGAGCCATTCCAATGCTAAAATAAAAACTGTTATTGTAAGCAAATTCCACCAACGGTAGATGTGTATCCCAACTACCTCTCAACTCTAAGGCACTAGCTTGCAACATATCCTCGAGCGTTTAGATAGTCCTCTTAGTTTGGTTGTTTGTCTGTGGATGATAGGCCGTGTTAAATCTCAACTTAGTGCCTATTGCTCTCTGCAATGCTCTCCAGAAGTTCGATATGAACCTTGGATCATGGTCAAAGACAATGTCTTTCGACACCCCATGAAGTCTTACTATCTCATTTACATAAACCTTGGCATACTTCTCAAGTGAATAGGTAGTCTTTATTGCTAAGAAATATGCTGATTTCATCAACCGATCCACAATCACCCATATTGCGTCATAGCCCACTTGAGTTCTAGGCAATCCAATGATGAAATCTATTGATATGCTATCCCACTTCCACTTTGGGATCTCTAATGGTTGCAATACACCACCAGGCCTTTAATGCTCAATTTTAACCTTTTGGCATGTTAGACACCTAGCCATAAACTCTGTCACATCTTTCTTCATTCCTGACCATCACCACATTTACTTCATATCCTGATACATCTTGGTGATACCAAGGTGAATAGTATACTCACTACGGTGTGCTTCCTTTGGGATCGTCTTCCTTATCTCCTCATCACTTGGCACACAAATCCGATCTCGATAAGTCATATATCCATCATCATTGAATTCAACTTCTATGGATCTCCGCTCTTTAATATCCTCACAGATCCCAAGTAGATACTCATCCTCAAACTAAGCAATTCACAACTCTTTTCATAATTCATTAGTTATGACTGTAGAATGCACATTGTACAACATCATCTGAGGTGCTTGTCTTTGAGTATCTAAGAAAGTCTCAAGTAATCGATGCTCTTGAACTATCATATGAGCAACATGCACCGTTTTCCTACTTCACGCGTCTGTCACTACATTGGCTTTACCTGGATGATACTTGATTTCAAAGTTGTAGTCCTTGAGGAATTCCATCCATCTGTGTTGCCTCATGTTCAGTTCCTTCTAATCCACTAAATACTTTAGACTTTTGTAATTACTAAATACTTTAAACATAAACCCATAAAGTGACACTAAATTTTCAAGGCAAAAACTGCTGCTGCTAACTCCAGATCATGAGTTGGATAATTCTCTTCATGTGGTTGCAATTGTCTTGAGGCATAAGCAACAACTCGATCATCTTGCATTAAAACGCACACTAAACCTTTCAACGATGCATCTGTGAAAATTACATCCATAGTGGAGGATTAGGAATAATGAGTACTAGAGCAGATGTCAGTTTCCTCTTCAACTCGTGAAATGCCAATTTACACTTGTCGATCCACATATACAGTTGATCCTTTCGAGTCAACTTAGTCAATAGAGACGCGACCTGCGAAAATCCCTAAATGAATCGCCGATAGTAGCATGCTAATCCCAAAAAGCTTTTAATCTTTGTCACTGAGGTAAGTGATTCCCATTTCAACACAGCATCCACCTTATGTGAATCCACAGCAATCCCTTCCACCGACACCACGTGACCAAAAAATCTCACTTCTCTTAGCCAAAACTCACATTTACTGAGTTTAGCACATAACTTATCGTCCTTTAAAAGTTGTAGGACAGTATGAAGATGCTTCACATGCTCTTACTTGTCTCTTGAGTAAATTAAAATATCATCGATGAATACCACCACGAACTTATTCAGATAAGGACGGAAGATTCTGTTCATGTAGTTCATAAACACTGCCGGGGTATTCATCAATCCAAATGGCATCACTAGAAACTCATAGTGACCATATCTAGTACGAAAGGCAGTCTTTGGTACATCCTCAACCCTGACTCAATTGATGGTAGCCACGAGTCAATCGTAGATAACACCACAGCTCCAACCAATTGATCTAGCAAATCATCGATTCTAGGCAAAGGATACTTGTTCTTGACTATCACTTTGTTCAGCCATTTATAGTCAATGCAAAGTCTCATACTACCATCCTTTTTCTTCACAAATAACACTAGTGATTCCCACAGAGATACACTTAGTCTTATGAACCCTTTTTCTAGCAATTCCTCTAGTTGTTTCTTTAGCTCTGCTAACTCAGATGGAGACATATGATATGGAGCTTTTGATATGAGTTCTATTCCAAGCACAAGGTCAATAGAAAATTTCACCTTTCGCTCAGGCAGTAATCCAGACACTTCTTCTGAGAATACTTCAGGAAATTTGTTCACCACTCTAATTCTCTCAATTCCTCCATCATAAGCAGCATGAACGAAAAAGAACACCATATATGCCTGATAGCCCTATTGAATGCACTTTTCTGCTTGTATTACAGACAAGAGTCTTAACTGATTGAGTTTCACTGTAGGTACAATGTACACTGGCAATGATATCATCATTCTTGCACAATCTAGTGTCACATTATTTGCCCACAACTAGTCCATACCCACTACTACATCAATCTCAATCATGGGCAAATAGATCAAATTGATGGTAGTTAACCTATTCTCAAATCAACACCTAGACAAGTATGGTTGGTTCTTACATAAATTCCAGCCAGCGTAGACACATTAATCACATATGACAAGGTATACACAGACAATTTCAACCTCAACATGCAATCATCAGAAATGCAAGAATAGTTTGCACCTGAATCAAATAAAGCATCTATATCACAGTTATATAGAGATATTTTACCTTTAATCAAATTTAAAGATACACCTACCTCCTCCTGGAACAACGCGAATACTCTACCAGGAATAGTCAACCTCTACTTTGTGGTACTCACTCTGCCCTCATCATAATATTTAGCAATGTGCCCCGTCTTACCACATTTAAAGCAAACCCAACACTTTCCTATATGATATCTCCCATGCTTCGAGCACTATGGGGTTTTGGCTACACTAAGAGTAGGCACAGGCATTGTGGAAGCCTACTGAGATGGCTGTGCATCACTGGCACTATTCTTTGGTCCACTACTCCTCTAAAAGGAACCTTAGGACTGTGATCCCCTTTGAAAAGTCTTCTTCTTCCCAAAGCTCCCATAACTACTGAGCTCAAACTGAGTCTCTTGCTAACTCCACTAGTAGGGCCAAGCGACTGTAAGAATCTGCCCTGACTATCCCTTCTCTTCTCAGTCTTTGCCTCCCTGCCCTTTCTTATAGCTATTCTCAGCTTATTGCACATCTCATCATAAGGTGTGATCTCAAACAAGGCCAACTGTTGTCGGTACTCAGGCCTCATCTTCTCAAGTAACCTCTCAGCCTTCCATTTTGAGTCATCATTTCTTATGAGGTAGGTAAAGTACTTTGATAATTAATTGAACTTGACGATAAAAGCTTCTTCATTAATATTTCCTTGCTTGAATTTGTGAAACTCAACCTCTTTCTCTACTCTAAAGGCTATTAGGAAGTAAAAGTTGAAAAACCTTACTTTGAACTTATCCCATGTCTACTTGACTCCACCCATCAGTCTCACCGACTTCCACCAATGTTTAGCCTCTTTTACAAGCAACACTGAGGCCAAAGTCACCTTCTGCTCCTCTGAGCATGGCACCATTACAAATATTGTCTCGATTCTCTCGATCCACTCTTCGACTTCCATCAAAGGTAAGTGGACAATGAGAAATTATTCTATGCTCGATCCATGGAATTGTGTGAACCACCGCCATCCATAACTCCAGATTGCTTGGGTGTGCTCTCTTGATAAACTTCATCTTCTTACTCATACATCTCTTCTTTATTCTCAATTGTTCTACTGTCTCCTCTTGCCCTATCATTAATCGGTGCACCTTGTTCCCGTACCGAATTATGTATTTCTTACATCAAATTTCTCATCTCCAATAGTAAAGCCTCATTACCCTGCAACTCATTTCTTAGTTGTTCCAAGTTCTGACCAACCGAAATATGATTCTCTGGTGGTAGCTCATTGGTCTTTAGTACCACATTCATATTGGATGGGTTATCACCTTGGCTGTTCTTCTTCTTGTCATCCTCCCTCCCCTCCTAAGGATGAAAGTAACCACACAAAGAGTAAGCGTTAAATGAAATAACTATGTAAAGGAAAGGTAAATGTAATAAATATATATGCCAACTTCTAGACATGAATGCAACAAGCAAAACCATCCAACACAACAGCCACACATACCAGTCTCGTAACACTTGAAACTGTTACCAAATCATAATGCCTGCCTTGACATTATCAAGATAACACTTACTTACCGTTGTGATAATTAAGGTTAGATAAAATCCCCTGAAATTACCACAACTCAAAGGTTTAAAGATAATTAGTTTAAAACATTGAGATCTCAAGAAAATTCTTTTTAAAATATAGTTTGAGCTCAAAATATAGTTAAAAATCAATTTAAAATAAAAATAAATGCATGGGAAATAAATCACGTCAAAATTAAGCTAAAATGCCTTTTTTTCTGCAAATTCTAGTCCGTCCATTACGGCGAATGGCACAAAGGGATGAGTCCCTCAAGGGCCCCATGCGCCGCGGAGCAACAACCACATGCTGCAGCGCACACCTACTGTCATGACAGCATGACAGCCATCCAAACTTCCGGAGCGTGCCTTAAAACCCCAATTCACAACAATATAAAGGGGTGGATAAATTCTAACACACATGTCACTTGATCATTTTGGCACATAGATCTCTTTAAATTCTTCACTTGTAATGGTAACTTAACCAAGCACACACATTTAATCCACAACATTAATCTTGGATCAAGATACACATACTTATCACAAATTCATACAAGTGATATCCAAACTAATGTCATATTTTAAGTTGGCAATATATAATGGCAATATTCATTACAAACCTAAAATAGAAAGGGAAATAGCTGTATTACAATACTCTTCACTCTTCAATTGCCCCTTCCTTCTCCTTGCCCCTATCGAAACCCTCGCCTATAAAATATAACCACAGAGTGAGGTAAACATCTCAGTAACAGAATAATTCACTACAATTAATTAACATACACAACCATAAGAGAGTAAAACTATGAAATTTCAAAATATACATTTATCATATCACCACATATTCTTTTCATCGGTACACATCTTTTACTATTAGCATGATCATTCTACCATTCGAGCCTCCATATCACCCTGACCTAAAACCATATGCTCTTAAATCAAGTGCACACTCACAATGATCTGAGCTCACCTTTAGTGGTAGAATCACTTGGCCAAAAGTGTCATATCCCACTTCCAGACTACAGTTTCTCCTTATCGCACACGAATCGGGGTCTCGTTACTCTAATACCGCATCATTGATGTTAAGAAGTGTTACTCTCCAATGTCGTATCCTGCATGGATACTAAAGAGAAAATCTCCAATACCATGTCTCACTAGACACGAAAGAAATACATGCCATATAGACTTCTACTACTCCTTCTTATGAGTGAACTCCCACCCCTTAACATGATCATGCCTACACTCAACATATATATCATATATACATTTCAAATTTCTCAACTCATTCATATATAACTTTTATCATATTCATCATTTGCAAAAATAAATTTCCATACACAAAACCACATTTAGCAATATGCAAAGTTACCAAATCTCAAGTTCAAATCTACATATCTACTCACAAACAGTTAAGCAATATAATCAATTAGTGTAAATTATTCTGTTACCTCAACCCTTTGTCACACAAAAGGGTTATTTTGCTTCAACGTTAACTCCACACATTCTTTACGCATGATATAACTCGAGCAATACTCAATCTACACAATCAAGTGACAATAATCAATTATCACTTCGGATAACTCCAAATTCTCTTAGTTCTAAATATGTAAAATATCCAAATTCCTTTTCTAACAGCATCAACCATTCTCAAACACTCTAACCATCCTATTAAACATCCCAACATACTAAATTCGCTAACCAATATTCCACATTATCTCAAAATCTTCAAATTATACTTAGGATTCATCCAAACCATTACCAAAAATTCTCAATTACCACAAAACTCATAAACTTAGGATTAGAGGCTTGATTTAACTCCTCAAGATTTTAAATAAATCAATAGATTCTATCTAATCCTAAGAAAACCGAAATCAAAACCCTTATTGCCCCACCAATTCAGATTTTTGCATAAAAGAGGAAGAAGAGGGAATGTGCAACTTACCTAACAGTGATTCAAACTTCAAATGCCTCCAAATTAGCCTAAGGATCGTGCCCTAACATACTACAAGCTCTTTTTTGTCGCTCTCTCATCATCCCTCTTTCTTCCTTCTATTTTTGATCTATTTTTCGTGTTTGATAAGTGCAGATTTTGCACGTGCACTGCGGCGCATTAACATGCCTGTCGTGGTGCATGGCAAAAAAAATTTCACAAAATTTTAAACTTCCTTTTATACCATGGCCTACTCAAACATCGACCTAACCCTCTTCTAAAACTGTTCAAAGATTCAAAAACTATATTAGTCTCTCACAAACCTCGCTAAATCAATAATTTATCTAAATTGACTTAATTACCTTTGAAAACATAAATAATTATTAATAGGAAAACTTAGAGTGTTACACAATTCATAAGAATATATAACCAAATACAGCCTGAGCTATGAAACAAATGTGGACATATAGTCCACGAGGATAAAATTAACCAAACGTGACTTGAAACCATAAAACAAACACGAGTATGAGATTCACAAATAACAAACGTGATGACAAAGCCCACGAGACAATTAGCTAGCTATTAACCACAGCGTTATGGGCTAATAGAACTGCCGATAACAACAGTATTCTATTTAAAATCTTCTTAGAAATCACACTTCCAACATGCGAGAAAAATAATCATTCTTGAAATAAAATTTTCATTTTAAATGATAAATTTGCATGAATTGTTTCAAATATCAAAACTTGCCAAATAATACTTCATAATTACTATACAAACTTGCACTAATTGAGTAACTAAATAATTTAGAGTTCAATACACAAAGATGCTTTCGTCGATGTTAGAAATATATTTTTTAAGAAAAAATACATGCACATATCATAATTTAATTATTCTATAATTTTCAAAACTAAAATAATTTAATTAACAAAATACTCAATATTCGTCATGGTTGTAAAAAAAAAGATAATATTTTCAATAACAAACTACTTTTATTAATAAAATAATGAGGATGCTATTTACTTACTCATTAAAATTTCAAATTCTCAATGATATTCTTTCTTTAATTCTTGTCTGAGTCTTGTTCTTCCACACACTCGATAGATATATAAATGAATGAAATTTTAATAGATTTTTAATTTTTAACATAAACCCAATCAACCATCATCATTTAAAACTCTAAAACAAAAACTCATGCTCTGTAGTTGCTTCAAATATTATCACTCTGTGTCACTAATATCTCACAATTTGCTTTAGCCATGCCAATCTACTTGAGACAATTTTCTCTTGTAGTTTTCACCAAATACCTTAGGTGTATTATCTCTAATCATTTAATAAAATATTCAATTATTTATCAATAACCATACTAACATACTTCTTACAAGGAGCCATGCAATTTGAAAAATATAAAATCAAGCAAAATTCTTCCACCAAGCATTTTATCAAACATTCTACGGGCATAAATTACCAAGCTAATATTAATCTTTCCTCCTAAATTTCAGCTATCTTAAACCTTACAAGATCAATAATTCAATTATTTTCAATTAAAAACTCAAATCCACAACATCATCTCCTCCCCTGTACAACACAAATTTCAATTTAAATCAAGATTCCTCTTCCTATACATCCATATATGAAGTCACGGACAGCAACAGGGAAGACAGATTTTGCAACTTTGATCATCAGTTCACATATACACAGAGCAAGAGAAGATAAGACTTGAGGCATCCTCACCTTAGATCACCACGACAGAAAGCAAAGAGAAAGGAGATGAAATAGACCGCTGACTAGGGGAGAGGGAAACTGAATGCTACTCACAAGAAAGGAAACCAAACCAATAGCACCAGACCAGCTTCAGCAACTTGTGATTTCTCACACCCAGCAGCAATTCGAACGCTAATGATGAAGACAGAGCAACAACTGAGGAAGAAAAACAGAGATGGGAAGTACGAAGGTGAACCTGGAAGTTTCAGAGCAGCGATGATCCTCCATTCTCACCGGTGACCATTGGAAATGAGAAGAGAGAGAAGAAGATGCAGAGGAACGGAGAGCAAGATCGCACCAGAGCTCCATACTCTCTCTCTCTCTCTCTGTGTAAAACTGTCTGGAAAAATCGAAGAAGGAATGAGGATTTTTATCAGATTTGTAGGAGGGTAGTTTGGTAATTTCAGATAATAAAAACAAAAACAAAATCACCTGTGATCTCAGTCACATTCCAACTTCGGACATGTTGGAAGGACACCTGCACAACCGCGATTACAATAGCTTTCTTTTTTATCATATTTATCCTTAAAATTAATATAATTATTACTAAAATAAAAACTTATATATTTAATTTTATATAAAATTTTTGAGTTATTACAATATTGTAGTAAAAATGTATTTACAGTTTTAGATGCTTCTAAATTTATAATTTAGAGTTAATTTATTTTTTGACCTCTTTTTTTTTTAACTTTTTGTGATTGTATAATAAGAGCCTGAAATAATTCATTCAACAATTGAACTAATAATATTTAATAAAGGGTTGTTTGATAGGATTCCTAGCTATCGCTCCATGCAATTGCATGAGTGACCCCTAAAATATGTAAATAATAATGAAGTTTTGTGAAAAATAGAAATTTTTTTTTAAAATATGCAAATTATAATGAAATTTTGTGAAATGTTATAATTCTTCTCAAGTCCTTAGAAACTTTTTTGACGTTAATCATTTTTTATGAAATGATTGAACTACCCTCAATTTAAAATAAGAATAACAGCTTTGGCCCAAAAAAAAAGTAAATATAAGTTACTACTTTAATTTAAGTAGTGGCTACTTTAGTTTAAATCATAACTACTTGTCCTCTAGTAATGACTAAAACAAAACAAACAATTACTATTTTAGTTTAAGCTAGGGGTATTCTAGTGATGCCCACAAAAATTAAAAGACACCGTAAGTGTACGAGTCGCCATTGAAGTTAATGGTAAATCAAGCTAATGGTAAGCAAACAAAACTTGAGATTGATTTTAGAACAATTAAAACGAAAATATTAAAAGTGATCAATTAAAATAACTTTCAACCTATAAACAAATTAAAGTCAACCAAGAGAAAAGCGTTTTAGAGTCTTAATCACTATTTTCTTCCTAACCCTCTCATTACCGCATTAATTATCTTGAAAATTAGTTTTGATAATCCGAGAATCTAAATTAATCCAAAGTATTTTTCAATTACTAAGGACCCTAATTAATTTAATTAAAATAAAATATTACCTTAATTAAGTAATTGCATTAGAGACCCTAACCAATAAGAATTACCTAAGTCCATCGGATACATTTTTGTTTTAATAGCAAATTAGCTAAATTAATCCTAGGCTACTAGCTCTCAACGTCCAATTTGAATTTCCTCTTCCAAGGTTCAACCCAAATGCCCAAATCTCACCTAGTGGTGGCCAATCACTAAACAAGAACAAGATAGCTCAAGAACAAAAAATTAAAATTTCATTTCTCAACAATTAAACGATAAATCAAAGGTTATTTATACAAATAGGTTCATAATCTTCTAGAACAAGAAGATTTAGCTACACATAGTTGATATGAAAACTATAACAACAAAAAAAAAAGGTTCGAATCCATCAACATAGAGAAAAAGAAGAAGAGAAAACATTGATAAAGTGAGGTAGAATGAAGATTTGCTCCAATTCTTCTTGATCCCAAGCTTTAAGACTCTCCCTCTTGCTCTCCTAGGGTTTTCTCCAATTGCAGCAGCTAAAAGATGTCTCTTCCAATTTAGAAAAATGAGTTATGTAGGGTAATTTTGCACAGAAAATGAAATTGTGCATTTTTGTAATTTCGTCTGGTACTATAGCACTCCTTTAGTGGTGCCATAACACTAGTGAGCAATTTTAAAAATTTTGATAGTGTGCAGAAACTTTTTCTTTTATGTCTTAAACTTAAAAACACTTTTTTCTTATTTCTTTTCTCTTTCTTGCTTTGATGTTATCATGCCCCACCTATCCACAATTAATAAATATAATTAGAATCTTTACTAACTTTAATTTTAATCTTTTTAAACAATTTTCTTAAAAATATTATAATAAATCCATATGAGGCACTTAGTAATTTTTTTTTATAAAAGCAAAAAAAAAATATCTCTTTTCCATTGATGACTACCAAAATATAAACAAAAACATGTCAATAATAACACAAAATAGGGAGTCATCAAACCCCCACACTTGAATCAAATGTTGTCCTCAAGATTTTTGAAAACAACTAAACATAAAAGAATTAACTAAACACAAAGACTACAAATATTGTCAAGTCAGAAGTAATTAAACCTTCAAGCATTTAATCTTCAAATGAATCATTTCTACCTTCTAAAAGAATATGAGCAACAAAGTAATTAACTAGGCAAGGATAAATCACAATAGATTGTCCCTCATCAATCAAGTGTTTGTACTCTACGCTCAATGTGTTCGATGGCTTGTGTTTCACTCAATTTTACCTATTGCAATCATCTACCATAGGTTTGTTTCTCATATCCATATCCACTCTATTATCCCAATGCACACACAAATCAAAAGGACTTTATTAAGGGTTGTAATGTATAAGGTAGGATGATGGAATGAAATGGGTATAGGACAAAATAAACCAACTTCAATTAGTTCTAAGAATCATCAAATAAATCCCAATGAATATGAGTTATCATCTAAGAGATTGATCAACTAATCTATTATTCTTCTTATATTTTTTTTTCATCATCAATATTTTTATACATCCATTGTTTACTTCTTCTCTTCTTTCTTTCTCTTTCTTTTCCTTTTCATCTTCATCATTTTTCTTCTATCTTTTTCAACTCTTACAAAGCATTTGCATCTTCATTACTTTCTAAACAAACATGGACTCTTTTTCTTCTCCTTTTCATCAATTTTTTTTTTCAATTCCTTCAGTAGTTGCCCTACTTAGCACCAACTAAGGTGATTAAAAAGGATAAAATATAAAAGGATATTTTGATTTAAACAAAGAGCTATAAAATTATTCTTTTTTTTAAAGGCTAAGGCTCAAAGGGATAGAACACGGGATTTAATGTGAATAGGTAGGACATTTGGCCAAAATGGTTATGAAAAAGAAGGCCTAAATCATCTTTGTGCATGCAAAAAGGCATTTGAAGTCTCAAGAGAGATTGAAGACAAGTTTTAAAGATGGAATTACAAGTAAATTTTCTCTTGAAAGAAATGAAAATTTAGGCTCAAATTCTTCCCAAGCTTTTTGGACTCCCTAAGTCAAGTTATCCAAGGTCAATTCTTTGCCTAATTGCAAACATTCAATAAAAAGGTAACGTAGAATCCTAATTCAACTTAATACCTTCAAGTTGAAGCACAACTAATGTTGACAACATTCACAAATAAACCAAAAACATAAGACACAAATAAATAAATTTTTTTGTTAACAACAAATATATATAAAAAGAATTTAAAACACCAATATCTACAAGAAATGAAGACACACAATCAAACAAAGATGGACTAACATGAGAAAATAAAAATTTGGAGACAAGTAAGGCAATACAAAGTTAATTTCACCCTCCCTCAAACTTGAACAACACATTGTCTGTAATGTGAAAACTAGATGAACAATAAAAACAAGAGAAAGAGGGGGATACTGCTCTGACAGAATAGAGAAATGTAAGTGATCCAAACATAAAGAGAAAGGATGAAAGCCTTGTAATCTATAGAATATCATGAGGAGACATGGAACAAGGACATAAGACCTCATAATAATTTTTTTTAATGTAAATAGCAAAGTTAAAGATAATGCATAAGTAATCCTACAATCATCCAAGAGAAAAATCAATTTAGATACAAATTAAGGTCCCCCTGAATGGGACAAACTAAGGTGCGAGAGGCAGGCATCGCTCAATTGCCGCAACCATGTCTTGTAATATAGAGACATCATGCTGAACTTGCTCTAAGCACACTGTAAGATCAGCCAACATTTCGAGAACACGCTCCTCAAATGGCACAGATGGCCTATTTGACTCATCATTAGTAGGTGCCACTTCTTGGTCTATAACTGCATTTAAATCCTGTCTTCAATGATTACATTCCTAGGGGACTTCAGCTTAAAAGGTTGTGGCACCTCTAATAAGTCAATAGGGAACGACGGAGCCCCTTGTTGCACACACAAGGCACATGAGATGAGCATAGATCATTGTAAATTTTATAGCCTTAGTGTCCTAGATCATAGCTTGCATCGTTGAAACTAGATTGGAGTAGATGATGGCTGCCAAGTCTATCAATTACTTTGTCATGATACAATAAATTAGTATAACTTTAGCCTTTAAGATTTTATGAACATGGAAGGTGGGCAAGACATTATGAATGACAAAGTAATGCCAGAATTTAGCAGCCTTGTGTAGGTCTGAATGGCAAAGTCCCTGATTCCATTTAACCTTTTGTGAAGTCAAGTGCTTAGTAATCAACTCATAAGGGCAAGTTGACTTGTCCTTCATCAACTCTTTATAGCAATAAGAGTCAATTACTGAAAGATCATAAAAATTCCTTATGGAATCCGCAGTGAAATGAACAAATTTTCTTCTCACATAAGATTTGTCCTCTAGAGAGAATAGAGCATTGGCAAAGAAGTCACGCATCAAAGATAGGTAACTAGTTCTTAGAGGGAAGCAAAGCAGTTTCCACTGGTTATCTTGAATAATCTCAAAAGTTAGGTGTAGGTCATTATAAGGGAATGCGTGTTCTTAATGAGCTGATTGTTAGAAAAAATTTGTGTATATTTGAGATCAACTGCTAGTGCATAAAAGATATTAGTAGGCCATGGCATAGCTTGATCTTCAACTGAAGGTGGGGAGTCTTTATGATTTGGAGAAGAAGCATGTGACTTAACAGATCACTTGGTATGGGATAAAGTAGCCTTTAATGAAGCTTTGCATTTAGTGGTTATTTACCTGTTGGAAGGTGCCATTGTGTAGCTGTAAAAGAACAACCAATACATAAAATAAAGTAATACACACATATGAATTTAGTCATAAGAAGTGGAAGAAAATCAACAATCCACTTGAATCAATCAACCAAAACAAAGCGCAATAAGGAGAGA